TTTTCAGCGCTGCTGTACAGAGAAAGGTGTAGAGGCCCTTTCATGTCCACTAGGTGATGTGCCGTCCTTTCTGCAGCAGCTGATGGACAGAGCTCTGGCGTTCAGCTCGAGTAAAACGTTCACTGCGGCCATCTCTTCATGTCACGAAATTTTCGAGACAGAACAGTTTCAATCATCCACTGATGAAACGTTTTGTAAAAGGTGTACAGAGAAGGCGTAGAGGCCACTTCATGTCCACTAGACGACGTGCTGTCCTTTTCTGCAGCAGTCGATGGACAGAAATTTGGCATTCAGCACGATTATCGTATGCTGCAGCCATGTTTTCTTCTTGTCTCGAAGTTGTCGGAGACAGAACAACCTTTAATCATCCTCTGACGGAGCGTTTTGTAAAAGGTGTATAGAGAAGATGAAGAGGTCACCTCATGTCCTCTAGGCAGTGTGCTGCCTTTTCTACAGCAGCTGATGGACAGAAATCTGGCGTTCAGCACGATTATTGTATGCTACAGCCATTTCTTATTCTTGTCACGAAGCTGTTGGAAACAGAACAACCTTTAATCATCCTCTGATGGACCGTTTTGTAAAAGGTGTACAGAGAAGGCGTAGAGGCCACTTCATGTCCACTAGACAACGTGCTGTCCTTTTCTGCAGCAGTCGATGGACAGAAATTTGGCGTTCAGCACGATTATCGTATGCTGCAGCCATGTTTTCTTCTTGTCTCGAAGTTGTCGGAGACAGAACAACCTTTAATCATCCTCTGACGGAGCGTTTTGTAAAAGGGGTATAGAGAAGATGAAGAGGTCACCTCATATCCTCGAGGCGGTGTGCTGCCTTTTTTACAGCAGCTGATGGACAGAAATCTGACATTTAGAACGATTATCGTATGCTACAGCCATTTCTTATTCTTGTCACGAAGTTGTCGGAAACAGAACAACCTTTAATCATCCTCTGATGGACCATTTTGTAAAAGGTGTATAGAGAAGGTGTAGAGGTCACCTCATGTCCTCTAGGCGGTGTGCTGTTTTTTCTACAGCAGCTGATGGACAGAAATATGGCGTTCAGCACGATTATCGTATGCTACAGCCAATTTTTTCTTCTTGTCACGAAGTTGTCGGAGACAGAACAACCTTTAATCATCCTCTGATGGAGCATTTTGTAAAGGTGTATAGAGAAGGTGTAGAGGCCACTTCATGTCCTCGAGGTAGTGTGCTGTCCTTCTGCAGCAGCTGATAGACAGAAATCTGGCATTCAGCACGATTAACGTATGCTACAACCATCTCTTCCTGTCACAAGGTTTTCAGGGTCAGAACAGCCTTTAATCATCCGCTGATGTTTTTTAAAGGTGTTCAAGGCGCAGGCCTGTTTTCCATGCCCACTTGCTTCACAGTGGGATTTAACAATGGTCCTGTGAGCCCTGATCTAGGCTCCATCTGAGCTACTGAATCAGGTTCCAATTAAACTCTTGTCTCTTAAAACAGCCCTGCTGCTGACTTTAACATCCGCTAAGAGGGTGAGAGATTATCTGCCCTCTCTGCCGCTCCGTCGTCGTGTCTTGGAACTCAGACTGACGGCAGCTCAGCGGATCTAAGACCGAATCCAGTTTTTATGCCTAAAACATCACGAGCTTTTTAAATTAAGAGTGATATCGTTGGAGGGGTTTTTCCACTTCCCCCCCCCAACAATCAGAAGAAGAAGCATCTTTCCATCTTCTCTGCCTGGTGTGGGCGTTGACGTCTTGCATAGCGTGCACAGCTGCAATGCGTCAAACTTAACATTTATTTGTGCATTATAGAGATGCATCTGCAGGTCGCCCGTTACCCACCCAACGCCTGTCACACTGGTTGTGTGAGGCCATTTCTGAAGCCTACAGAGCATCAGATTTAGAGCTTCCTGTCAACCTCAGGGCGCACTCGACCAGAGGTATTGCATCTTCGACTGCTCTGCATAATGGTATGACAATGCAGGATATTTGCACTGCGACCGCGTGGTCAACACCCTGCTTATTTATTCACTTTTATCTACATGATGTGATGGCCCGTTCCATGACACATTCTGTCCTTAATGTTTTACAGAATGAATATTGTTGTTTCATGGAACTCCGTTTAACTCACATCTGTCTGCATGCATTACAGTGTGCGATGTTGTTATCAGTCACAAGTTGTAACTGTTATTTGGTTCTATGGTCATTAATCAGTTCATGACTATTGTTACCAATCAGTTCATTTGATTATAATCAGTTCATTTGTTATTAATCTGTTCATACTGTTCAGCCATGAATCACTTGTTTCATGGCCCCCTCTTCTCAACATCTTTCTTACCCGTCGAAAGTTTCCCGGGCGTTCATGTATTCAGAACGTATAGTTACACAACATGCGTCTGTGCATGGTACACATAATTATACAATGCGTAATTACGTACATGGAGAGTTGAGTGACAAGACGTTTTTTGGGCAAGCTTCCGCTTCATACAGTGTTCAAATGGACCCAGTGAGGCGAAGACCACATCTGCTTCGCCCTTAACCCACTAAGCGACAGCCTTAAAGGGCGAAGCCTATACGAAATAGAACGTTGGTTACATACTGTAACCCTAGATTCTATGAGTATAGGCGTAGCCCTTTAAGCGTTGGGCCTCACTGGCTCCTAAGTGGCTGAAGAAAAAGCTATTTGGGAGCCAATTACCCGCTCTTAACATAATTTATATGGACCGGGTGGGGCCCACACAGCAGGTGGGCATAGACTAAATTTTTCAGTGTGATGCTTCGCATGACGGGATAAAACCCACTAAGCAACAGCCTTAAAGGGCTACGCCTATACTCATAGAATCTGGGTTTACAGTACGTAACCAACGTTTTCCCAGTGTCGGAGGTCTACTCTCACGGAGGGAGGAACAATGATCATCCGTCTCTTTGTTTTACTGGATCCACACACAGACGCGCAAACCACTTCTGGAGGATGTGTGTACTGATGACATTGTTCCTAACAGCTTCATGGCGGAAAACAGCTGTTATCACTCTGCCAGGTCTTACGTGGCGGAGCTGGTCTTTTAGAGTGTCGATTCTCGTTTGTGATAAACGAGCCCTCATGGTGGTTGAGTTTAGCTCCTCTCCCAGATAACAATCGTCTGGGCCGGGAGAATTGAGCTTTTCCTCCAATTTATGGCTAAACACAGACACTTTGATCATTGAATGATGTTTTATTCAACATTTGTGTCATCTTTACTCACACCCTCCGCAGACTGTCATTTTGAATCTTTTCCCCCATGAGCTCTGGGGTTTGTTGGCCCAGGGCGCCGTCTGCTGGGGATCTCTGGGAAAAACGTTGGACACTCTGTTGCCGGGATGAAAAGGGCCAGTCTCTGACGGCGGGGCTGCGGTGAAGCTCAGCGACACGGCCGTGGAACATCTTGCCACCGGCTCATTTCATGTGGAGGATGTGAGAGGGAGCCAACGTCAGGTCATCCGAGCTGACAGACTGGCTAAAAATAGACACTTTCATCATTAAATGATGTTTTACTCCAAACTCTGTCACCTTCACACACATCCTCTGCCAAAACCGTCATTTGCTCTGCCATTTGTTGACCTAGAGCGCTATCTGTTGGCAGTCTCAGGGAAACGCTGAAAACTCCATCCTCCAGCTGCGATGCGGGCCAGCAGACAGCAAAAGAGGTGCACCAGTTGGGGATGATGTCAGCTGCCCTGCAGAGGGAGCGTACGTCTCCTCCCACCTCTGAACATGTACGCCAACAGCGTAACATGTTGTTCGCTGCGGCCGTCTGGAACGCATGCTGGTGAGCTCGGTTGGATAGCGATGTCACCGTCTGGGTTACGCTAACCGGAGGCGCAGGGCTCTGGTCCACCTGGACATCTTGCTCCGAGAAAGGTCTCCATCAGGCTCGGCTCCAGGGGGCACTGAGGGAATTTCCGCTCGGTGAAACCCCTCTGCTCTGGTGATGGGCGCGGACTGTGGAAGCTGGCCCCCCAATCTACCAGGAAACCGGCTGTGGCCTTGTCCCGTAGGATGTCCTGTTGGGAAACCGAGGCCAGATGGGATCAGGACGGCAAGGCGGGATGGAGCCCAGAAAAAAACCTTCCTGCCGGATCAGCCGAACTGGCGGATAAGGCGCGGGACGTCAAAAAGTGTCCCTTCATGTCAGCCGCCTCTTGGGTTACGCCGGGCAAACCCCAGAGGGTGCCGTCGGCCGGGAGCGGTGTGATCGCCGATGCGAAACGAGGTGGGATGAGGTGAGCATTCGCTCAGCCCCCCTCCACCGACACTATGCTCTCCAGGAGAGAATGAGCAGCGGGGCTGCGGCTGACGTCGCCTGTCCCAGAGGAACCATCCGATTCGCTTTGAGGTCGGCGATAAAAAGAAAATTACAAGATGGCGTTGTCCAGCGTGTAGCGACCTGTCACTGCGAAATACTCCTCGACACTTACCTTGAAACAAGACTGCTTGTCAGCTTCTCCTCGGGGAGGAGAGCTCACCGGGACGACCGGAGGTCGACGTGACGAGCCAAGCATTCTTAACAAAGGTTGGTCATCTACACAACTTTCCTTCTTTGTTCTTCTGACAGTGCTATTAGCTCGCTGAAGAAAAATGGGAGCTGATTACCCGCTCTTAATTTAATGTATACGGACCGGGTGGGGCCCATACAGCAGGTGGGCATGGACTAAATTTTTCAGTGCAATGCTTCGCATATCAGGATAAAACCCATCAGCGACAGCCTTAAAGGGCGAAGCCTATACGAAATAGGACTACTTCTCATTTACAATGACGACCAGATTAAGAGGCAGAAACACAAGTGGACACAAAACATCAATGATAAGAGCAGAAGACAAAGCATAAATGGCATAAATGAACATATTTAAACATACTATACACATTTTAAATAAATAAATAATCATAGGTAAAACTAAAAGCATGAGCATGTGCAGTGATCTTGTCTTGATCAGCAATGTAAGTCACATACTAGAAATTAACAAAAAAACTGAAAATTAAACTTACTTTAGAAATGTTTCAATCTCCAGGTTGTGTAGATCTAAGTGTTTTTCATATTCAATAGCATAAGCCCTGAGGGGTACAGCTGCTTGTATCAGAGCATTGCAGATTTTCTGTCTCAGCTCTGCCACTTGTGGTTCAGACAAAGCCACCAAATTCAGAAACAAATCCTCATCAAAGATCAAATTCTTCGTTATAAACTGAAAAGGACAGGAGCAAAAAAAATTAGAATTTTCTGACAATGTTCTCAACTACAGTATGTACAAGTCATTATCATAATGCAGAGTGATGCATAAGATGCTGTCAGTTTTAACTTATAGTGTGATACAGGTACATTTTATTTTACCTTTTCACGTTGTGGAATGGCATTACTGACCAAGTTAATAACTGAAGTCTCAAAATCCTCAAGAGGAGGGCTATAATAAACTCCATTCTGGTCCAGAACCAAGTCCACACAAAAAATGGGCACCTTCTTTGGCCTTGGTAGAGAAAGCATGGCAAAAATAATGACAAAGTACTGAATATACAGTGTAAGTGCACTGAGTGCACATTATATAATGTTTTAGTAGAATAAAAACTATTTGACAAGGAAAAGGATTTAAAGTTTCACAAACATATAGCCTCTGTAGTCAAGGCCAGCATTTATCACTTACATCTTTTAACCAAGGTCAAGCCTTTTTTAAATTGTCAGGACCTGGAAAAGGTCATTCATGCTTTAATCAGCTCAAGACTTGTCTACTGAAATGCTTTGTACGTAGGAATCTCCCAATCCTCTATCAGATGCCTTCAGCTGGTCCAAAATGCAGCAGCTCATCTTTTAACCAACAACCCCAGACGTGAGCTCATCACGCGTTTTACTTTCTCTTCATTGGCTTCCAGTCCATTTTAGAATTGATTTTAAAATTTCATTAATCACTTTTAAAGTTCTTAATGGTTTTGCCCCACCTTTTTTATCTGCTCTACTAACTTTTTGTGAGTGTAAAAGAACCTTAAGATCAGCTTATATTTCTTTACAGTTTGTTCTGAAATATAATTTTATCAGCTAATATATTAACTTAATGAAATGTCTAGATATATGCATCCTGTTTTGTTATTTAGAATATTATGTTTAAACACGATCTGATTCCGTTTCCGGTAGAAAATGTAGTTTTTAGGGGTGCACCGATAAATCGGCCCCAATTTCCTTAATTTTGGGAAATCGGAAATCGGCTACTTGCATGAGAAACCGATTTTACAGATTTTTTTAGTTTTAGCAACAATTGTCTAAACTTCATTTATATTTCAGAGCACTACCTCATGGCCAGTTAAAACAAGTTTGTATTGTTTCTGGGATATTGTTCAATGGTATGTTTTTCAACAAAATAATATTGGCAAATTGAAGGTACATCAGTGTTTCCCCTACCATTATACAGGCGGGGTGCCCCACCCCGCCAACAAAACTGAGCACCCCGCCTACCAAACTGAACTTGCCCCTCCCACCCCCACCCGGCACTGACATGCCACTAAGCTAGCGGCGCAAAATACAGGCTCTCCAGCTAAAAAGCCCAACACAGCACTCACATTGCCTCTTCCCTCATGTTGAACGCCCCCCGCCCCCACTCAAAAACTGTTAGTACAAGCTGCGCTCAGACATGTCTCCGTCCCCCCCATCAGCAAAAATCATGGATGAGATGAGCACCCTGCCATGGCAAGCTAACTAGGGGAAACACTGTGCATTGTGACCTAATAACACCTGACAGTGTCGCTTATAAAACAAAATTGATATCGGCCAAAATCAGAATCAGCAGGTCAAACTTTTTAGAAATCGGTGATCGGAGATCGGCCAGAAAACTGTGATCGGTGCACCCCTAGCAGTTTTAGTTACATGCCTACAACTCCCAACATTCACGCACACACCCGTTATAGAACACAAGATGGTGAGATATTATTGGTTGAGAGTTGGGTCACATGATAGAGTAGGGCTTCCCATTCGTCAATGGTGGAGACTCCTCCTGGGAGGTGTGGCTGAACTCTGAAGAAGATGGGTTTTCAGTTTACACTTGGGGCCTTTGTGTGTGACTGCATGGTGAGGTGGCAATGGCTCAGGACTGGTGATTTTTGTACTTTACACGTGGGTCAAATAAACCTTCTGAAATGGATGACAATTGCTCCTCCTCTCCCTGCTCCAGATACAGAATATATTATAACAGTTCCAAAGTCCAAATACAAACATTGGGGTAACCGGGCCTTTTCGGTTGCTGCACCCAGACTCTGAAACCAACTACCTCAGAACTTGTACTCCATCACTGATCTGGGCTGTTTTAAATCTAATATTAAAAGCTTTTTATTCAGGCAGGCTTTTAATACCTAGTGGCTCTCTGGCATTTTTGTACTGTTTTTATATTGTTTGTTTTTAACTTTTGTATTGTGAAGCACTTTGCGCACCTTTTGGCTGTTGGAGAGGGATCTATAAATTAATATTGATTGATTGGTTGATTGACTGAATGATTGATTGATTGAGGAATTGATTTATTGCGTAGATGTGGTTTATCCTACTTGTAGGGGCTTGTGATGAGGTCATTTCCCCAGACCAGGTCCTGAGGACATGTCAGCACACTGTGACATGCTTCCAGCAACAACTCACTCAGGCTGACGAGTGAACGTTGCACAAGGTAGCGTAAGGAATCCTGCATCCTTAAGTGAATCACTTTCATCAATCTGTGAAACTCAGAAAAATGGTACACATCCAGGCTTGACTCGTTCACATTGAATGAGCTTTGGTTGGGGGAAGTCAGAGTTGAGCAGATGATGTTGCTGAGTTTGTTAATCCAATGCTGTTTAAGGTAGAGGGTCATCTGGAGAATTAAAAACAAAAAAGACAAAGTGTTGTATTCATAATACTGAATGCAGTATTTATTATCTTTTGATAATTAAATGTTTAAAGTGAAATAACAATGAACATTAAAGCTGCTCATATCATCTGATATGTACAAATCAGTTTTAGGCAACAGTGTGTAATTTATTATATGGTTAAAATAAATTGTTGGTTTTGGAAAGTTTCCTGCTGATCAGAGTGTCAGATATTTATTTACAAATCGTTGCAGCTAAAACAATAAAGTCAATATTATAAAATAATGATATATTTTGAAATATATATATAAAGTTTACTGGTTAGTACTAGCTTCTATTCTCTTTTTATTCGATGTATAAAATAAAAAAAAGTCAATGTTTTATGAAAAAGGTTTTGTGAACAGATTTTGTAAAAAGATAACATAATACTTTCTCAGTGTTTAGGTACCTGAGTATGAACTTGAGACTGGACAACTTCAAACTCATTCAGCCGAAGTGGTTCGAGCATTGACACATTGAACAGCATCAAGTTTTCTATTCCACTGCATTCAAACATTATTTTAGATAACACAGAGATCAACTCTGGTTTGATTTGCAAGGACTTGGAGGCAAATGCATCTTGGTTCTCTTTGTAGGTATAGTGAGGAACTACAGAACATCCTGTACAAGAAAGAAAAAAAAAATCTGTAGTAATAGTTAGGACTACATTTACTTCATCTTGACCAGAAAGTACAGAAATAAATGACATACAATTGTCTTACCATTTTGCGGTACATACTGGGGGTCTCTTTGTGGCAGGGTGATGTGTGAAAACTCTTCAGGATAACTCTCAACTACTTTGTCAAAAACCATACTGTTCATTGTACGATCATATTCCAGTTTGACCTCTTTCACCAAGTCTCTTACACACTTTTCCTTACTGCATGAAAATATTCACATTTATTGAGCTTTGGATTTTTTAAAGAAAATCGTAGCACAAAAGAAGAAAGACAAAATGACATCGTAGTTCATTACATGACTTACATATTCTGTTCAACGCCAGGATGTGTTAGAGCAAGTCTTTCAATACGCTGCAGACTCTCAGTACTGAGAGATGGCATTCCCTGCCAGATGGGCATGCAGTCCACAGACACACTGTACACGAGTCGAGTCTCTATATCTTTCCTTAAATGTAGGGCAAAAGCAATTCGCTCAACAAAGACACGTGGGTCCTCAGCCTTGAAAAACAATCTGATCCTGGGTACCCAGTGCTGAGTGCCTCCTCGCAGGTAGTTTATTTCTGTGACAGATTTTGTACACACGATAAAACACAATATGATTCATAAGAAAATTCTTAAACAATACTGCAAAACTATACAAATGGATGAAACCAGGGGATTTACTTTTCCTGCGATTTTCTTTTTTGGGAGGATTTCCTTCCTCATCCAGCGGTCTGCTGTCTTGATGAACTTTCTGTACAAGGTATTCACATTTTTCCTTGTTGTAGTCAAGAACCCCAACCAAATGCCAGCTGTATTCGAGATGCCGGCTTCTTAAATCATCTTCCAATTAGAAATACAATGGCAACTATGAATTAAAAATGATCTAAAATAATGACTTTTTTTAGAAACTAAATTTGATCTTTTACCTGAAGAAACATCATCGTCATCTTTAGGCAGCAGGGCTCTTGCAGGAATAGGTTTTTGATCCTGTGATCCATCTTCATTGCCCAAGGAAAGCCAGTCTTCTGGTGTCCGGCAGTCATAATCCTCATTGTCAAAAAGCTGATAAATAACAAGAAGAGATTTGGCAATACCACAGTGCTAAACACAAAATTATAAACAGTAACCAGAAAAAAAAGCAAGACTACTGTAGTCTTACCTCGAGTGGGAAATAGGCTGACCCCAGACAGTCTGGTGTGGTTACAGGTTCATCACTTTTTTCCAGAAGTCTTGGCATTAGGATCTTAGGGTTGATTCCTTTTTTTGACAGGAGCTCTTCTAAATCGAATTTCAAGTATTCCCTTCGAAGTCTGTTTAAAGATAGTTTTAAAAATGTGTAGTTGTGTAAAAACAACACTTCTGTCATTGTCACAAACAGCTCATACCTCTCTATAACTAAGCTGCGGGGGATCTGGCCAGGAGGGGTTTTATAAGAAACTTGAACTTTGGGTATATATCCACATGAGGAGAAGTATGAAGTTTGTGGTTGCTGTGAAATCTGAGGTATGTCCTGGCACCGCTCATGTGAAGTCTCGATGGTTGGAGCTTAAACAGTGCAGACAGAACATTTTACAGACACCAAGACAACTTTTTATGTTTAGGAGAGATGCTGTTATTTGGTTACTGGAACAAATACATCAGTGAACAGATAATAATAATAATAGTATGAAACGTCTGATGAGTGTACGCTCACCTTCTGGTAAGGTAAAATTAACAGACTTCAGCCTGAATTGGTCCTGTGTCCTCTGCTGAGGATCTTGTCCATCTGTACAAGACTGGATCCAAAGCATGTTTCAGAGCACTGAGTAAATCACACATACTTCACAGTGTCTTAAAACTAGCAGGTTACTAAGAGAGCTGAACAGATAATTTCTTACGTCAAACATTGAAAGGATATTTGAGTAGAACAACGTCTGATTATTTGTACGGGACACAATATTTCTGCGGCTCACACATGATGAACGCCTGTGGTCTGGAGGTTTGCTGGGGGGATGAGGCATGTGTGCCCCCAAAACCTTCTTATCCATCTTAAAAAGTAAATTTAACCACACAACAATTACCAAACAAGTAAAGAAAGCATTCATATTAGCTAGCAAACGAAAAGGTTAGCATTAAATTTAGCGTTGGTTTTTTTTTTTTCCAAGGAATATGTATAACATGATGGAATGTTAGCTTATTTTATAAAAGTTTTTTTTTTTTAAAGCATCACGTACCTTTTATTAAACTACACAAAATAGTTTATTTTGAACAAAAATGCTGCCTTGAAGTGAACAAATCTCGGTTTCTAAGTGGACGGAAACAGAAACTCGACGGTTGTTACGGGACTTCTGTTGCCATGGAGATGATGTGCCGCTCGTGCCCACAAGCGTCCCGGACAGAATGGGGCGGGGCTTAGCTCAGCCCAGGGTTGCTATATTTTTATTTTCATGTCACGGTTTCGTTGTGTAAAGTGAAAACCAATATGTGTTGTTCCAGTTGTTTGCCTACAGACTGACTTTTTCTAAAGAGAAGCAAAAACAAAATATTTAGAGTTCTCAGTCCATTTTGTTGTCATTTTCATTCAGCTGGAGTACAGCACAGTGAAAGAGTTCAAGACTGATCATAAAGTTAAAGTGCCAGCTGTTAACATTGAGAGATAGTTATTTAATTTATCAGCTCTTGACTCTGAGTTTTTGCCCCTTTTAAGATGTTCCTGAATTATAACAATCTGTTGTTTCTTCTCGATCTGCTACTGTCTTATAGTGAAGACAATAGACCATTAAAGTTGTTTGTTTATGTGCATTCCACTCCAAAAAGAACAGTTCAAGTAAATAATAATAAAAGTAATAATGATGATATTCATGCCAGTGATAAGTGGATGTAAATTTCTGACCACAACAGTAAGAAAGTAGCAGGAGCAGGTTGAAAACACTAAGAAGGTTTGTCTGGAGTGGTTGAAGAAAGCACACAAGTTTGAGAGTTGTTTAACTGAAATGTATTGATACAATTTGAAGCTATAGGTTTCTTTGTTTCCAAAGATAGATAACAAACATTATGGACTTCTGCCTCTTCTCCATTCCCTGAAATGAAACCCATCAGACAATCTGAAACTCAGCAACCAAAAACAGTTTAATGAGACAAAAATGTCTTGTTTCACGTGAATGACATTTTGCCAAGCACAGTGAACTTAAGGTTGAGAAATGAGAAACGAGTTGCAGATGATGTAAAAAGTTAAAACTCAGCTCCATGAGAAATTTGTGACCAGACCGCTTTACAGCTGAGCCAAAGAGCAAGCGTCAAATGCATAGGCACTTGGCATGAAATTACTGAAATCTGGATTCATCCAGTCATTCAAGACAATCCTGATGAAATATTTGGTTTTCTGCTTCTTTGATTTTCTCCCAGTGAAGCTCAGTTTCCAAAGCAATGACTTCACTCAAAGTAAAGACTCCCCAAAGGGCCAAACAGCCCACATCCAATGAAGACATTATCACATCAGAGCGGTGTTAGCACTCAGAACATCCTGACCACATTAGTTCATTAATGATTACCACATGTCCGTGCTATTGATTAAATTTGTGAGGAGACCCAGCACTGAGAGGTTCCACAAAAAAAACCACAAGACAACACAAGTCTCTGACGAGATGGTGGTCCTTGGAACATAGTTTCCTACTAACGTTTGTCTTACAATGCTGTAGCCATCTCTGGAGCCAGGAGGCCACCATGGAGAGGAGACAGGAGAGATGTGGCCAGCAATGATCCTCTCTATCCCGTTAATTCATCTGAGGATTGTATCCCTGTATTATTGACAATATAGCAAAAGGTTATCTAGATGTACAATACACATTGATTATCCCTTAATTGTTAAATTCAGCTTTGTGCGCCCATGTTTTTGACTTCACTATTTAGATTGCAAATATTATTGCACAGTAAAACCATCATCAGCTTGAGGGCCAGATGTTGCCTGACAGGATCAAACACTGGCTGCCTCCCTCTTATTGTCACATTCTGAACACTCAGTGGCTGCAAATAACTTGCATACTCCTGCAAAAAACCACAATCTACAGTAACCACATGTGTGGGAACACCCACATGCTCTGGTGTGATTGTATTTTTGTCTTTGCTCCCAGAACTGCAAAGATTAAAAAAAACAACTTTGCTTTGGGGTTCCCATCAGGAGGGAGTTTTGTTCAGATATATGAGACAAACTTGGCTTTATGCCTTTGATCAATAAAATAGTCCTCCTGATTCACTGATGCTCACAGCTCAGACTTCTAGAAACATTGTATTATTGCACCCCATTGGCCACCCTGACCAAACAGCCTTTCTGCAGGATCTGACTATAAGTAAAATAATAATTTGAAGTAAGTTTATATCAGTAAGTAATTCTCTAAAACATAGCATTTTTCTACTGGCTTATGTATAACAATGTCATGACAAAACTCCTGAAATTCAGGTATGGCTTTTGGTTTTGATATCCAGTGGTGCCCATTTGTCCCCCTTTGAAAACTTTTCTGGGTGACTCCCCTGGGTGCAACACATGCACACTGTCAGCATGAACAGTTTTTGATCTTGTCAGGTGAGATGATGAACTGTTATTTACTGGTGACCTTTGCAAGTAAACCTGCCATCGTGGGTTGAATGACTCATGGATGGACCTGGCATGCCAATAAAGAGGAGTTTACAGGAGAAGAGGGACCTCAAAGCAGCACAGTGGTCAGATTAAAGAAGCCACATGGACACCTTCAGCTTGTGTCCTGAAACCTCAGCTGAACCTGATTTTTCCTTTCATTTACTTTTTTGTTTTGGTGTGAGCTTTGAAGAAAAATCTGAGTCAGAAGCCATAAACCATAAAATGCTTTACTGAGAAGAAAAGCAAAAAGAACTTAGTGAACTAACGTAAACTGTTTTTGTGGATAAAAAAAATCACATTTGTGATTGGTTCAATCCTGCTGTACTTTGACGTCTTTGATTTATTTCCCTTTTTGCAGTTTGATGATTTGTCTGTTTTAATCGCCGGCCGCTAAAAGGCAACAGTGTGGTAGTAGCTGAGACTAATCCTCAAAATATATTCTGAGGGCGAAAAAAGCTGCACAGGATCTTTGTTTGTTGTGGACTGTTTGGAGTCAACTTTGTCAGTCAGTTAGCAAAACATCCTATGAATCAGGAAATGAATGCTAATGAAACTGTCAGAAAATATTCTCCTGATATCCCTCTACAACTGATTAACCTTTGGAGTCAGTCAGATTTAAGATGGACGCCACAGACAACTGAGAGTAAAAACAAAACACAAAAAGGTTATAATTCAGTCAAATTTACATATAGTGACCTAAAGATTGGAACATTAGTATCTGACAATCATTCAAAACACATACTCTGAAAATGCTAATCACTGAACAAATGTAGTCATCCATCCATCCATTTTCTTTACCCACTTCTTCCATTTTGGGTCACGGGGGTCGCCGGTGCCCATGTTCAGCAATCACTGTACGAGGGGCGGGGTACACCCTGGACAGCTCGCAAGTCCATCACAGGGCCACAAAGAGACAAACGAGACAAACAACCATTCACTCTCTCACTCACACCTAGGGACAATTTAGAGTTACCTATCAGCCTAACATACATGTTTTTGGTCTGTGGGAGGAAACCGAAGTACCCGGAGAAAACCCACACATGCACGGAGAGAACATGCAAACTCCACCCAGAAAGGCCCCTGGACCGGGATTTGAACCAGGGACCTGCTCACTGAGAGGCAGCAGCTCTACCAGTTGTGCCACCGTGCTGCCCTCATTAACTATATCTTTGGAGCCAATCCAATCCAAGATGGCTACCACAGGCAACAGACAATTAGCCAACACAAACATAGCTATAACACAGCCAATTTGACAGAAATAGAGCTAATATTTGGTACAATAGTAGCTGAGAGTGATTTACAACACATACGATGAGTGTGACACACTGCAACATTGCATAAGATTGTGTTTAACAATATTTGTAGGCTTTGACCAAACCAGCTATACCTTTTCTACACATACAATGATCTTCATCTAAATTAGAGCTATTCAATTAAATTGTTCAAAAGTCGTATTACTGAAAGCCAACAGCTCAACGGTTGAACATCTGGCAATTATTGTCACGTAAATTTAATTTATGATTTAAAATCTAGTTTCATTTTTGAAAGAAGTCCAGGCCAATGTTTCTTTATTGTCATTTGCATCGCACGTGGTATGTGGTGGAACGAAATTGTGTACACAGGGTCTCAGTTACATCCAACAAAAGTATACTGTAAAGAAAAACAGAAGATCTAAGATATACCTAAGAATACACTATCACAAATAGTACAAAAACAATACGCCGAACAACAGCAGCATGAACAAGAGTCTGTGTGAGCAGATGAGTACGGATGGACACAGCAGCATGAAATAGATCAGCAGCATGAGATCAGCCACATGGATAGTCAGCAGCACATTTCAGCAATCCAGTGGTATTGGTGATTTTTTTTCACAGTGATTATCCTGGTTAGAGATTCATGAGTCTAACAGCCTTAGGGTAGAAGCTGTTCCTCAGTCTAGTGGTTCTACACTTAATGCTCCTCAACCTCCTGCCTGAGGGGAGTGGGGCAAAAAGTGTGCGTGCTGGGTGAGTGGGGTCCTTCATGATGCAGGTGGCTCTCTTCCTGCATCTGGAGGTATAGATGGCTGTGATGGTGGGGAGGCTGACTCCAACAGACTTCTGTGCAGCCTTCACCACTCTCTGCAAAGCTTTTCTTTCTGCAGCTGTTCAGCCTCCAGGCCACACGCTGATGCTGGAG